TCTGACTATCAAGAAAAATTACAAGGCAAACTACACAATGAAAAAACCCACAATTTGAAGAGACAGAGCAAGTTTCAGAACAGACATGGCAGGGATGTTGGAATTATCAGAGCAGAAATATAAAACACTGATTAATATGCTAAGGGCTCTAATGGATAAAGTAGACAGCATGCAAGAACAGATGGGCAATGTAAGCAGAACAACGGAAATCCTGAGAAAAAACAACAACAAAATGCTAGCGAAGACACTGGAGCAGAAATGAAGAATGCCTTTTGTGGGCTTACCAGACAGGACATGGCTGAGCAAAGAATCTCTGAGCTAGAGGATATGTCAAAAGAATCCTTGAAAACTGAAAAATAAAGAGAAAAACTGAAAAAAACAGGAGAGAATATCCAAAGACTATGGGACAACCATAAAAGGTGTAACACACCTGTAATGGGAACACCAGAGGGAAAAGAAAGGCAGGAACAGAAGAAATATTTGAAATCAAGGGTGGGGCGCCTGGGTGGCTCAGTTGGTTGGGCGACTGCCTTCGGCTCAGGTCATGGTCCTGGAGTCCCGGGATCGAGTCCCGTATCGGGCTCCCTGCTCGGCGGGGAGTCTGCTTCTCCCTCTGACCCTCCTCCCTCTCATGCTCTCTGTCTCTCATTCTCTCTCTCGCAAATAAATAAATAAAATCTTTAAAAAAAAAAAAATGAAATCAAGGGTGCCTGGGTGGCTCAGTCATTTAAGCGTCTGCCTTGGGCTCAGGTCATGGTTCCAGGGTCCTGGGATTGAGCCCCACATCAGGCTCCCTGCTCAGAGGGAATCCTGCTTCTCCCTCTCCCACTCCCCCTGCTTGTGTTCCCTCTCTCGCTATGTCTCTGTCAAATAAATAAATAAAATATTTTTTAAATATTTGAAATCATTCTACATTGTACAAAAGATTCTAGCCAGTGCAATAAGGCAAGAAAAAAATTAAAGGCATACATATTAGAAAGGAAAAAGCAAAATCATCTTTGTTCACAGATGATATGATTATCTATTTAAAAATCATAAGGAAAGGAGTGTCTAGGTGGCAGATTTAGTTGAGTGTCCGACTCTTGGTTTCAGCTCAGGTCGTGATCTCAGGGTTGTGAGATTAAACAACATTCCCTCCCCCGCCCCTGCCCCCGCCATGCACTTTCTCTCAAATAAGTAAATAAAAGCTTTAAAAACAATAAAAATCATAAGGAATCTACAAAAAAAAAAAAAAGCCCTACTAGCAGTAATAAGCAGTTTAACAAGGTCAGAGGATATAAAATCAATATATAAAGAACGGTTATATTTCTATATACTAGCAACAAGCAGTCTGAACATTTTTTTAAAAGATTTTATTTACTTGAGAGAGAGAGAGAGCACAAGCAGGGGGGGTGGCAGAGGGAGAGGGAGAAGCAGGCTCTATCCCAGGATCCCGAGATCATGACCCAAGCCAAAGGCAGATGCTCAAGCAACTGCGCCACCCAGATGCCCTGAACATTTTTTTTTTTTAAGATTTTTTATTTAAGGATGCCTGGGTGGTTCAGATGGCTAAGCAACTACCTTCAGCTCAGGTCGTGATCTCAGGGTCCTGGGATGGAGCCTGCTCCCGGCTCAGCGGGGAGTCTTCTTCTCCCTCTGCCTCTCCCCGCTGCTTGTGCTCTCTCTCTCTCTCTCAAATGAATAAATAAAATATTTTTTAAAAGGTTTTTTATTTGGGGGCGCCTGGGTGGCTCAGTCATTAAGCGCCTGCCTTCGGCTCAGGTC